CTTTGTCAGACAAAGTGAATGATCGGGAATGCACTCTCTTTGATGGAAATCTAAACTGCCAGCAGTTGATTTCAAAGTGTTGAGATTTGTTTTGCAAAATATATTTATATAGAGATATACATATATATTATGGTTTCACAAAATGTTTGCAAAAGGTTTTAATTCCCGGGATCAATATGAGTAGAGAGTGCAACACTGTACCTTGCAACAGAGGGAGAGGTCCTCTCTTGTCGGGCAATGTTTGATCATTATGGGCTGAGAGGTAAAGTGTAAGACCATTTAGGGATAATAAACCTGATGGGCTAATCTCACATCTGCCCACAGTCGTTGGGCCTTCATAAGATAAGGGATAAGCCTTATCACTTAAAGAGTTCATATCCAACTAAAAATTTGGATCAAGAAACTCCTAATCAGATTAGGAGATTAACTCTTTAAGGTCTATATAAAGGAAGAGGGCGAACTGGAAAAAAACACAGTTTGACTTACTTTTCTGCATTCAGTCATCTCTCTCTCTTCTTGTTACCCTACCATGTTCAATCTCCACCTCTTGGAGTGATCAAGATTAGATCTTGATATTGTTTCTTGGTGGAAGAAACAATCTTGAAGTTGTGCTCACATCCCTACACAATTCTTGCTAAAGATTTGGGGTTCATGATGAAGAACCCACTTGCTGATCATGCCTCACCCTAAGCTGTGCCATCTTCAGTGGAGGAAGAATTTGTTACCCTCTTTGGCCATGAACACCTATGTTGGGAGGAGCTTTTTGCATGGATTCCATATYAGGTATTCTTCTCCCTAATCTTGGTTTCAAATTTGGTCCGGTTTGTTTGAAGAACGAACCTTGAAAAATGTAGTTTTTCTAAATCAGGGAATAGGATTCCCAGATGGGAGAAAAAAACTTTTGAAATTTTGCTCAGCCACCCTGCATAGTTCGGCCATCCATATGATGGATCTCCCATCCCTTCATCTATTGGGAAGCATTTTAGATATATCGATTGTTTGAGCCAAGTTTTCAGCTCCCATGTGCGTTGGTGAGCATGCTTGGCTTTCAGTGCTTTGGTTTCTTGGGAGGTCTATTGGAGGGTAGCCTATCTCTTCCTCTTCTTTTGTTGCATTATGGCATATGGTTGACCATTATGTGTGTGGCATGTCCTTCATCATGCTTCACAAATAAATGTTGATTTGCATTCATATGTAGTGGGTCATGTACGCGTTGTTATTGGAGGTTATCTAAATGAGATGGTGGTTGCATGGTGTGGCACTGATTTAAATTGGTCTACCTGGTGTCCCGCCTTTTCTTGAGGGCAACATTGTAATTGTAACCTCCAATTTTTCAGCTCTTCGACGACGGGTGACTGATAATCATTTCATTCAGTCTACCATGACACCATTTGGGCTGCCAGGCTAGTGTGAAGCTTCTACAAAATGATGTTGTTCAGTCACTTGTTGTGCTTTGCCTTTGTTTACATTCGTTTTTGCCTTTTATTTTCCTCTTCTCCTTCATTTTCTTCAATACATCTATCTTTGTCAGTAATGGATCCTTACGGATAGAAGAAGACCATGAAGTCTGAATGCCCTTTCATTGATTTTATGAGGAATGTTGACATAGCTGAGTTGCTGTTAGAGAATAAGTCTACAAAAATGGCTAATGGTGGGAGGGGTTTTTGGCCTCCTATGCCAGTATCCTAAGGGAAGGACGGTGAAGATGACATAGTGGCAGCGAGGAAACTGATGTGCTTATATGGTCGTGTGGAGCGAACTGTGTCCTTCAGGTGCCAGGAACCGAAGATGAATGCTTCCAATTCACCGGTAAACTATTCGGCCTAGGCACATTTTATACTAGAGAACCCCATGTATTGTCGGTTACTCTGCAGTGTTGGACTTCTCTAGTTCGTGGACTGCTTTTTGGACCTCCTCGGTAGAGAGGGAGTCAATTATATGATACTGCTCATCTCCCCTTGGTCTTGTTAGACACATACCTTTGTTGGTGCCTTTGGCGAGTTTGGCATCACTGTAKAGGATGTCGCCACTCTACTTGTGCTTCTGTTGGGTGGTGCTGTTTCTATCCAACATCTCCAATATGTTGAGTYCATCCCCAATGCTCTTTTAGAACTATACACGGAGTTGGCAGAGGAGATTAGTGTTTTCAAGGCACAAGTCGACGAGTCTACTGCTTGTGGAAAGTTGCCTCTTGATGCCTGGATTGCTTTCTAGTTCGAAGGCAAAAGCTCAACGAACATTATGGTTCGAAAGGCCAACAGCCTATGCCACCTTGCAGCCTTTATTCTCTATGTGGTATCACTGTTCTTGTTGAAGGGATGAAAGATCCATCATATATAGATGGCCAAACCCTGCAGGAGGGTTGGGCAAAATTTCAAAAATTTCTCTCTCCCATCTGGGAATCACATTCTCTATTTTAGAAAACTACATTTTCAATAATCATTTTTGAAACAAAACTGAACCAGATCTGAAACCATTAGGAAGTGATGGATATACCTGATACGAAGTAGTAGTAACTCCCAATGAAGGTGTTCACACCCAAGGAGAAAACCAAAAGTTGCTTCCACTGAAGATGACACATTGCGTGTTGAAGCAGAATCAGTAGGATGTCTCTTCAGAAAGAACCACGATTCTTCAGCAAGAATCGAATAGGGGCTGGTGAGCACGACTTCATATTGGTTCTTCTGCCAAGAAGCAATATCAAGAACACTTCTTGATCACTTCCACAAGTGGAGATCGAACTAGGTAGGGGTGGCAAGAACAGGGGAGAACTCTGTAGATTGCTGTGTGTTGAAACTAAGGAATTCACCCCCTATTTATAGCCTTCTCGGGATCAGCCTCCTAATCTAATTAGGAGAGAGTTTCTTGATCAAAATCTGATATTTGGATTTGGACTCTTGAATGGATAAGACTTATCTTATCCTTTAGCTAATCCTAATCAGATTATAAATCATATCTTGCCCCTTTTAATTAACTAACTTAAGCCTAGTTCGAATTGGGCTTTAGGCCCATTAAGCTTATGTGCTCACTTACTCCTTAACCTATTGCCTAGTTGGCTCTCTTTGCATGACGTGGAACCCTTACATCGATCTACACATCAATCACATGGGTTCAGCCTAGCCTTTGTTACAAGGTCTGGCTGAATTCATTGTAGGAGAGAGTGAACCCCTGAGTCCATCACCGTGGGCTCTTAATGGGCCCAACATTTACACTAAATGGTTCTTGGATCCAGCCATCTTATAAAAACACAAGAACTGTGGGCAGATGCATGATTAGCCCATCAGGTATTACCCTCAATGGTCTTACACTTAACCTCTCAGCTCATAATGATCAAGTACTGCCCAACAAGAGAGGACCTCTCACTCGGCTACAAGATACAGTGCTACACTCTCTACTCACATGGATCCCGGGAATTAAAACATTTTTGCTAACATTTTGAAACCATAATATATATATATATATATATATATATATATATGTATATCTCTATATAAATATATTTTGTGAAAGCAAATTTCAACGTTTGAAATCAACAGTCGGCAGTTTAGGTTTCCATCAGAGAGAGTACATTCCCTGATCATTCACTTTATCCGACAAAAGGGTTAATCCTGTCACTATGATCACCCACTCAGATGAATTCTCRGACTGTCCCAACATACCCAGGTTTTGACCCCCTCTAAGGATCTCACTGATTGGYAYATCAAAGACAKCYCAATCCGACACCTAGTGCAATATCATAATCGAGTCTAGGACTCAGGTGTAACATTCCAGTTTTTCCCATCTATTTCCAGGGTCTAAGGCAATACTGGTATTTTAGTCCAGTTCAGGGTTTCAAGAAAACCCACATTGCATGTTCCTCAGGTCTCACCCTAGCAACTAAGACAAGCCACCCCAACCAACTTGGCGGTACATCAGTGTCAGTCTTGCTGGGATAAATCTCCCCAGATCTGTCCAATGGCTGTGAAGATTCTAAACTAACACGAGTCTCATAAGTGTCCAGTTTAAGAGTATTACACAGAAACACACCAAATCACATGAATCAATTATGCATTTTATTCATTTATGATAAATGACATAATGTACATCAATCTAATTGGAGCTAAGGGCATACACTGTCTAACACATGTTCCCTAGCAATCCCGACTATGGTCTCCATACAGTTCTGCTTCCTCCCTCTGTTCTAGCAGCCAACGGTCATTAGCTACCTTTGGTGTCCATGGCTATCTCTACGACCAAATGAATGACACAATCCACCAGATCATGGACCCGAGCTGCAAGCGTCGTTCATCTTATGTCTTTACTCCATTCTTATTTATGTACATTTGTGAACATTTTCAGTTGAGCATTACTCCTACATGATTATCCCTCCTGTCTGTCAGCATGGCAACCCTGGTGGGTGACCAAATCGAAGATGTCTCTCAAAGTCTGTCGCGTGAAGTAGTGGCTCAATGCCAAAAGGGGGAAACAGTTTGGGGCCGCGGAGGTTGAAATTAAGTTTTCTTCTTTGGATGGTTTTGTTCTGTGCCCATATACTCAGCCAGTTCATCACGCCATACCGTTCTGCGTCAGGGTTTCTGTCTCCGAGGGTGATGATCAGCATGTGGTGTGCATGCTGATCACCATCAATTATAATGTTTTGTACTTTGTCTATTTAGTTTTATTGAAAACAAAATTAACCCCACATTAGTTATCAATGTTAACTTTTATTAGATAATAAGTAGAAGAGACCCGTTTGGTGCACGGGCTAGTGTTAAAAGGATTTCCATGTTACATTGAATATCTTAAATAAATTAATTGTGGTTGAGGTTAAATATCTCCATATTTAATTTTAATTTTTAAAATTTTTAAAAAGTCAAAAGGATTTAAAAGGATTGGGAAACAATATGAAGAACCTGACGTGGACAACTGCATTTTAGAATATACAGTACTAATAAAACATTGATGACAATATATCAGTTTGGCTACAATACACTATCTACTCAAAAGTAAAGAAGATAAAATCAGCTAAAATGATAGGTACCGGCTACCGGACTTGAAAGAACCTTTCTGTGTGTCTTCTCTCTTGCCAGGAATTGCCTGTACCACATAGCAGAGTGTTTGGGTGTTCTCTCTAATGTTTTGTAGTCCACATAATAAATCCCAAACCTCATCGTGTATCCATATAGCCACTCGAAGTTGTCAATGAGAGACCATACAAAGTAACCCCTCACATCAGCCCCATGCCTGCAAATGTGTGAATGTAAACATAAAAGCATATGACAGTAGTAGATACATAAATTACAAAAGTGTTAATTTGCACAAATTTGTTTTTGACTTTGATTATATATTAAAAGAAGACGTACCTCATTGCTAAATTTAGGGAAGTCAAGTAGCTTTTTAGGTATTCTATTCTTCCAGCGTCATTGAGCAAGTCCCTCTTGGAAACATTGGGATTGCTTGCTTGTGCATACCCTGAAAACCAAGTGTTGGAATGGTTGATGAGATGATAGTTATCGGTTTTAGTTAATGGATCGGCCGGACCTATTTGGTGCATTTTTTTGGTGCGGACTATCGGCTTTTTAGAAATCTAGTAGTCTGCGTTTTGGTCTTTTCCCGTTTGATTGGAAAAAGATCTAGCTGCCAAAAGTAGCAGTCTCAAAAAAGGCATGGGAAATTCATTTTTGACTATTTTTTGGGAAGCTCCAAATGTAGTTTTTCACCTTTTTTTCAACTCATCTTCACACGGAATGACGTGTGAACAGATGTGCCTTAACTAAACGGTTTTCAAACTGTTAAGATCTTAATACAAAAGCTCACGTTGTCTTTTGACTGTCAGAGATTTCAGAAGATCTTTCCAAAAAGACTTACCAAATGGCTGAATTTACTTGATAGATTTTTTTGGTGTATATACAAATGATCATTAATTGTGATAGATAGATTATTACCGTTTTCTGTGATAAACATTGGCGTATTGTTGTATCTATCTTTGAAGTACATGAGAATTTTCTCCATGCCATATGGAACAACATAGAATGATGGCATTGCTGTCTGGAAGAGAGAAAAATTAATATATCAGCAAGAGCCAGCCAACCAGACTAAAATATCGCCATTAATTCAAGATCTAAAAGGTGAAAAAGAGAAACAGAGAAAATATGTTGAACTCAAGATTGTTTACCCAAGTTGGATTATGAATTCAACCTTAAAATGCATTCTAGAACATTATTATTTCTTACCGGATCTCCAATAGGGTGGCCATCTTTCTCTCCAGTTATGTAAACAGAGGCTTCCCCGAAAGAAGTACTAGATTCACATTGAGAAAGCATGCAGTCTTTTACATAGAGAGTAGAATAATGATTAACTCCAATGAAATCCAACTTGTTCCCCAACTTCTTCTTATCCTCCACTGAAAACATTGGCAATCTAGAACCCAAAATTTGGCGCATTTCAGGAGGATACTCACCATAAAATATGGGATCTAGGAACCTGTGATACCACATTAGAGGGAAGATTACTGAAAGTGAGAGCAAGCATTAATTATCAACATCTGTTGAAATAGTAGCTATTTTTATTCACATCCATTACTGCAAATGAATTTGTAGTAGTTACCAGGCGGTGTCAAATGCTAGAGCTCGTTGAACTGCCAAATTATCTGTTAGGGTATCTCTAAGTGGCTCATACCAAGTGGAGGACATCACTATCCCAATCTTTCCCCCTTGTTTGACCTTAATTATAAAACAATACAATTCATTCCTCAAATAAGGTTCCAAGAGAATTTCATAAATAGCAAGAAGTGTATGTAATAAAAAGAGAAATAACCGTTAAAAGTGTTAAATGGGTTATAACCAAGGTTTTTAAAACTGACCCGGACAACGAATCGGTCAGGGGTCCGGTTCCTAGGTTGAACGACAGCCCGTTCTGACAAAAAATGAAAAGAAAATAAAAACTTAAAAAAAAATGGTCAAAACCATTGAACGGTTCAAACAGTTCAACCGCCCAGGTCAGCAGTCTGCTGATCAAATGAACATTTTTGGCAAAAATCTGGTTTTGGGAAAAACCGTAACTGATCACCTGATCGGTTCCCGGTTTTCCCAATCTGACCGTCCAGTCCGGTCCGGTAACCATGGTTATAACCTTTCAGACCAGCCAAATCAACTATAGTTTGAAAATGGTGGTGGTCTTAGGAGGCGTTCGACAATGTAAACTAGCATGCCTCTTAGATGTGGGTCCGGATGTAGTAGGCACGTTAGGTAAGCACAATGAGTGAGCACGTAATAGCTGTGTGACACATGTCCCAGTTAATGTACTTTTCATCCAAACGTTTTTGCTCCGTTAGACAGAAATTATCCATTATTTTATTATCTTTGTCAAAATAATTAAAAATAAAAAATAATGAAAAAGGAAAACCTAAACATGTTGGGAGTTGGGACTCATTTACATTTTTCTTTTTTCATTGCTTTTTATTTTTAATTATTTTAACAAAAATAATAAAATAATAGATAATTTCTGTCTAACGGAGCAAAAACATTTGATTGAAAGACACATTAGGTAGGACATGTGTCACACAGCTATTACGTATTCACTCATTGTGCTTACCTAACATGCCTACTACATCCGGACCCCTTAGGTGTCTGTATAATGGGGTAATGTTTCCTTATACCTGATATTTTTTCTTGTAGATTTCAGCAGCAGTGGCATGAGATAATATCATATTGTGCGCTGCAATGTAGGGCTCTAATGTAGAGTCCCCAGATTGACAATCACCAAAGGGATAGGAACAACGGGAAGGTGGGCATCCCCCAAATAAGTAACCATATGGCACAATGATGTTTGGTTCATTGAATGTGCTCCAATACTTCACTCTATCACCAAAAGCTTTGAAACATACCTCCGCAAAATATCCAAAGTCTTGCCTGAAAAGTTTTTTATCCTTGTCATGAGAGCAGTGAAGGGAAATTGTATATTGTTGGTTTCTTTTTGACTTCAGGATTGGTTATAAAACAACAAACAACAAGAAAATTAATGGAGGATAGAAATTTACTGTATTTGTGAATTTAGCCATGACCCATATCGATCTTCAAGTTCTTGAGGCATATCAAAATGATTCAATGTAACAAATGGCTGAATCCCTGATTCCATAACAAGATAGGTAACCGCAATGAATTTGGATTAATCATCCATTTTATTTGGGATTTGATTCCAGATCAAACCCTCTATTCATTTGCCTCCATTTACTTGGAAGGAAATGATTAGTGATGATACATTTGACCAAGTAAACAATATGTATGCATGTTAGTTTGTGTAGGAGGGGATTTCAATAGGAAAATAGCAGCAGGAATTACCTTTGATCAAGAGGGCATTTATAAGTTTGTTATAAAATTCAATTCCTCCGGAATTAACCTCCCCAAATCTTCCCCCTAGTGTTGACATAAAATTTAAATGTCAGTTCCATGTTGCTATCTCAACATACAATTAACGAGTTGAAATTAAAAAGAATTTAATGAAATAAAAGGCATATCAAATGTTGCTCACTTGGTAGGACTCTTGACCATGAAATGGAGAACCTGTAGGAATTCACTCCAAGATAATGCATTAATTCCACATCTTCCTGTTTGATACAAAAATGTATGAAGAGATTGAATGAGAAATTCTTTGAAAAGAAAGCAATTTTTTTTTCATTTGCTGACATGATGAGCACTAGGCATGAATTACTATAAGAGATTAATTCAATCTCAAATTAAATTATTTAGGGGGTATTCTACAAACTTGTTGATAGTTCCAAAATAAATTAAAGCCATCTGGACTAACAACAAATTGGTTCTTAAAATAAAAACATAGAAAACATGTTTTTGGTTTTAGATTTATTTGTTTTCAAAACTGAGATAAAAGCATGCTCTTGAACTTCTAGTTTAAAGAACATGCATTCATATGGCAGTTTAATATGATGTTTCATAGATAATAAATATAATTTTGATGAAGGCGCATTTGGCGGGCTTTTGGCATGTCGACATGTGGCCGGGCTCGGAGCGAATCAGCACGTCAGACAAGGTAGGGGTCAATGTCCAACGTGGGACCAAGGGCGTGACCACACGCGGCGAGCTCAGATGGCCGCCCACTCAAGGACGGATCACATCCTGACCATCCACAATGTCTGCCATCAGGCGACCTCAAGTATAAATAGGGCATCACTCCCCCAAGGTAAAGGATCTTTTTCGGTGGAACGACTTTTTAGGATCTAGACCCAGAACTTGCACTCTAGCTCCCCAGTTTCCAGGCGACCTCGCCCGCCCTCCCTACAATGCCCTACTAACTTGATCGTCAGAGTCCCTGCCTCGGGTCTTCACCTAGGGCCTTTGACGTTCCTTCCTTTGTAGGTTCTCAACACTCCACGGATCCCACTGGTCCTTGGCCTCGGCCTTCTTCGGACAACACCGGTCCTCGGCCTCGGCCATTTTTGGACAACACCGGTCCTCGACCTCGGCCCTACTCGGACATCATTGATCGTCGTCCTCGGCCGACCACAGCTCAGATCCTCCTAGTCAGCTCATCCAAGAAGCGGAGCAAATTTACCTTGTTGTCCTCGGCCAACCCAAGCACCAACAACTAGCGCCGTCTGTAGGAACTGACTACTAAGCTCTCCCCCGAACGACTTAGCTTCCAACGAAATGGCTAGGTGCAGGAAAGTTACATAGAAATTGGTCACTAGAGACCAATTCCAGACAGTCCTTGACTGGTTCGGCGACCTCACGTAGAGGCTAAACGAGGTGTGGCAACCAGCAGGAGGTCATCCGTAGGGTGGTTGCCCCACTGAAAACCAGGGGCATCGCCGTAGACGCCCTTCACAAGATCGACCGGCTAAGCACCCTGTCACTGTTAGATAGTTTTGTATAACCTTAGCTTTAATCAGAATGATGTACTTTATGAATTTATTGTAAATGAATAAAAGTGCATATTTGATTCATGTTCCCTTGGTATGTTTCTGTGAAATACTCTTAAACTGGACACCTAATGAAACTCGTGTTAGTTTAGAATGTTCACAGCTAGTGGGTCGGTCTAGGGAGATCTATCCTGATAAGGCTAACACTGTTGTGCCACCAAGTCAGTTGGGGTGACCTGTCTCAGCTGCCAGGGTGAGACCCTAGGCGCATACAGTGTAGGATTAATTGAATCTTTGAACTGGACCAGATTTCTAGTGTTGCCCTGGACCTTGGAGATTAATGGGCAAAACTGGAAAGTTACACCCG